GTTGAGATTTGAAGTCAGGCATTCTGGCTCTAGAGCAGTGGTCCTTATGCAGGGTCATTTTTGCCCCCCCCCCCCCAGGAGACATTTGGCAAAGTCTAGACACATTTTTGGTTGTCACACCTGGGATGTGCTACTCGCATCTGTTAGGTGGAGGCCAGGAATGCGGGTAAACCTACAATGCACAGGACAGCCTCAATCCCCAACCATTATCCAGCCCAAAATGTCAGTAGTTGCCGAGGTTGAGGAGCACTGCTCCAAAGTTTTTGTTATGCTACATCTCATCTGAAGAACTGAAGCATTAGTGTCTTTTCTACAGTGCTTTGTCCTAGGCATTTTGTGACTACATTTAATGAAATTAAATGAAATGAAAATTCCTCTTCTTCCAGGTGAATCAATTCCAATAAGACTATTTTTAGCGGGCTATGACCCAACTCCGACAATGAGAGATGTGAACAAAAAATTTTCAGTAAGGTACTTTTTGAATCTAGTCCTTGTCGATGAGGAAGACAGAAGGTACTTCAAGCAGCAGGTATGGTGCCTCCCAGGCTGGCGGTTTGTTCTGTGGCAGTTTTAAAAACATCTAGAAAGCACTCCCTTTTCTAAGCTTTATTGCACTGGGCTATAAATAAGTATAAGGGTGTGATAAGGAAGTAGGCAAGAGTAGAATCATGTTGTGACAGGTCCCTCCCTAATCCTGCAGGATTCCTGAATGGGGTTTAATTTGGCAGGACTTTTATTTTTCTTTTAAAAGTTTTTTTTTTTCTTTTTTAATAAAAACAGTATCTGCTTTTTGTTTTTGTTTTTTTTTAAAAAAAGCAGTCAATAAAGAACAGAGAATGAAGTAACAGTCTCCAGAAAATCCACCACCACGCTGACTCTGATTGGTTTTCCAGACGTGTTGCTCTGTTTTTCCACCGAGTGTCTTGAGTGTCTATCCCTTGTGAACAAATACAGACCTCCATTGTCACTTTTAACGGGTACATAGTACCATGGTTTACGTGATGGCGTTTTTTTATTTACAGTTTTCCCTTCTTAAATAATTTTGTTATAAATGTCTATGAGGTGACCCAATTCTAATAATTTTTAAAGTGTTTATCCTAAACCTTGTTTTCATATGAACATCAATTAAAAACTTTAGGTGGATTTTGAATGAAGACTGTGATTAGAATGGGCTTTTGTGTCCTGAATTAGATTAAAAAATATCTGAATGTCAAATATTTGTGTTCAAAGCAAAGAACACAAAACTATTTTTTTATAAACATGGTCTGTCCTCAAGGTTCTCACGCTGCAGATGGGGGAAACAAGAACAGTTATATAATTAACAAACTTAATTAAGTTTGACAGTCATTTAGAAGAGAGAACACATTCCAGCAATCTTGCCAATGCTGTATAATGAAACATAGGTCATTTGTAATTTCAGAATGAGGTACATGAAATTTACAATTTCAAAATCAATTCTATTATGGCAGCACTGTTGGAGTAAGTGTATTGCTTCCCATGGGCTCACATGTTTGAAGTCTGATATGTTGGTTTAAAACAGAGCCACTCGTGACTTTATGAACAAGCAATTATAGAAATTAAGAAGAGATTTCAGGATGGATAGGTTAAAATTTAGATAGGCAGAGGTATAGGGATTTGAAGAATATATAGGGAAAGAGGTCCGGCAGGTTTATCTGGAGTGCATTAGAGGTATAGAGTAACTCAGTTTGGCTGGTGCAGGAGGGAGGTATAGATATGGAAGGGGTAATATTGGTACATTGGATAAAGGTTTTGGAAGGCCATGAATGCCTGGCCGGGGATTTATCCTGGAGGCGCTGAGAACTGTTGAAGAGCAATCCAGGCAATGTTTTAGGAAGATTAATCTGGTAGTGAGGCGTTGGTAGTTCAGTGGTAGAATCCTCACCTTCCCTGCAGTTTGACCTGGGTTTGATTCCCAGCCAATATGCTTCATGCACAGCTACCACCTGTCAGTGGTATGTATTAGTGTGATGCTGAATAGGTTTCAGTGGAGCTTCCAGACTAAAACTGACTAGGAGGAGATGCCTGGCAATTACTTCTGAAAATCAGCCAGCGGAAACCCTATGGATCACAATGGTCCAGTCTGCAGCTGATCATGGGGATGACTCAAGACTGGGCAGTGTTTTGTTCCATTGTGTGTGGGGTCACCATGAGACTGAGATGGGGGCCCACTCGATGGCAGTTGACAACAGCAACAGTCTGGTGGTGATATGAAGAAAGGAGCCTTAGGCAAGGAAAGCAGAACCATCTACCAAGAAGCTATTTGAGTATCTGAGGTTGAAGTGACAAGGGCCTGAATGAGGGCAATGGAACAGAAACCAAAAGACAGGTTTTTAGAAATTCTTTAAATCAGTAATAACTAGGATCTTGTGCCGGTTGGGCTGGTGGTGGAGATGTGCTGGTCTGGGGAACAGGGGAGGCAGAAGAGGCAGTCAGGATTAGAACTGGAAGGCAGTGGGTCAGTTAGGAAGGAGGAGGACTTTGGGAGGGAAGAATTTAATTTTGCTATGGTTAAATTGAGGTGGTCTCTCTAAGGTGAAAACTTAAGGCATAATATGAGAACATTAATTTTTTGTTGTTTTGCATTTATTTACTAGGAGATCATCTTATGGCGAAAAGCTCCCGAAAAACTGAGGAAGCAAAGAACAAACTTTCACCAGCGATTTGAATCTCCAGAATCACAGGCATCAGCTGAACAGCCTGAAATGTGAACCAAATAGAGAAAACAAAACAAAACATCCTCCCATAACTGTTGAGATTCAGTTCAGCAGGTTAAAGATGGTTGCGGTGTGTAGGGGAAAAAAAGGCCAAAACTCCATTTGTAATAGTCTTCCTTTATCTTACAGTGCTGCATTTATTTTATGATGTAACTAAATGTTCTTCATGTATATACATTTTTAAAAAAGTGCTTTCTTTTAAACACTGGAACTTTCTTAAGCTGCCTTTTTTCCCCCTACTGCACACTTTGATGATAAGCACTCAGATATGCATAAGCATAGACATTAAAGATTTTCCTGTGAATAGGCTGATATTTGTAATTTTGCTTTCTTTCTGCATAGTATTGATTATCAGTCTTTTTCTTCTCCCTTTTCATGCTAATTCTCTACATGCAAAAATTTAAATATTTGTGTTTGAGTAAAATAGAAAACCTGAGTGGCCCTTACATCCTGCAAAGTTTTAAAACATGGCATTTTTTTTTTTTTGAGATCTACATTTATGTGTTTAATGTGTATTTGAGAAATGCATATGGAGTGTTTCCCTGTAGGTGCTTCTGAGTCTACCATTCCATGGCTTCTTAAATTTGTATCTTCTTTGAAGTCTTCTGTGGTATGAATATTTATTATTTTTCAAGGGATTATGTAGCATGTCATTGCGGCTGCCTTCTCTGTTTTTCGGGGGTGGAGGGAACATATTAAGCAACCATTTTGCTACTTACCAGCAGTACCACTGTGTGTTTCCTGCAACGCGGAGTTGACCCTGTGTTGGCATTTTAGAATTTGTTAAAATTACAATTTTTCCATAAATACTTTGAAATATGTACCCTTTTTTTTAACGTAAGGAGTCTTTTTGCCACATATACACAAATACCATTTTCTTGGCCTCAAAAATGTATTCTCTTCACTTTCTTTTCAGGGGAAATTTTTGCAATGGGAGACTCAGGAGGACCCGTGAAACACGTAGTTACCTAGATCGGACAATTTTCTGTTTGTTAAACTGGAACTTTGGCTAGTTCACGCAAAAATTGAAACCTCACCCACTGTTTTAGTTTTTTTAAACATTAAATTCAAGTCATTTGTTTGGTGCCTGTAAAAAAGTTTGCAGTCATTTGTTCACACACACGGGGTCTTATACACTAAATGTGGGGTGTAGGTACCAAGATGAAGCCTACTTTCACTTACGGTTTTTGTACCAATGTTTTTTATACACTTCACTGCAAGTCTTGTCAGTTAACCTTACTTTATGAGTAAGCTAAATAACCCCAGTTGCATTTCTTTAAACCTGTTTACTATTACAGCACTTTGATAAAATGATCAGTAACCAACTTCTTTACTGGTGAAAGGTTCCACGTACCATGTGCTGCAGCATCTAAATGTAGGTATCTGTGAATGGTAATGTTTTCCTTCATGTAAGTGCCTGTTCAGAGTTTCAGAATTTTAAAAATGCCAAATATTTTCATGGTCACTTGCATGTAGTAATCTAGAAATATTCAGAGAAATTTTGAAAATGAGTTGTATTTAACCAGCCTCAAATTGTGCAGCCATGATGTATAATAAAGAATTTGAAACATACTGAGCTTGCTTTTTCAATGATTAAAATACCTCTATTCTCAAGTCTGTTCTCATTGTCAGACTTATTGCTGAAGATAGGATTGTTCAGTAGCTTAGGAAGCATAATTATGATGATGAGGTTTTTGTAAATGTTACCTGTTTCAATTTTAAATGGTTACATAATGCTTTTAATTAGCTGGCTTACAACACTGTCCATACACAGGATGTTTATTCATTTTTGCTTGAAACTTTCTGCTGAATAACCAATTTGAAAAATTAAATACTAATTCAGTATTTGGTGATTTGACTGAGAAGTTGGCCAGTTAATTAGAAATAAACTTGAGAATGAAATTTGTGTCATTAATAAAGAGAGTACAGTGTCCAGTCCAACGGTTCTGAACATTGGCTGCTTAGAATCACGAGGAGCTTTTAAAAATATCCATGCCCAGGTCCTACCCAGGCCGGTAAAATCAGAATCTCTGGGGCTGGGACATCAGCATTAAAAAAGCTACCTGGGGTTGAGAACCACTGATCTAAACCGTTTGTCATTTCTCTCCCTTTTTTTCCCCCAGATACCATCAAGTTGATTCTAATTCATGGTGAAACCGTGTGTGTCAGAGTAGACTGTGCTCCATAGGGTTTTCAATGGCTCATTTTTCAGAAGTAGATTGCCCAGCCCTTCTTCCAAGGAGCCTCTGAGTGGCTTCGAACTGCTAACCTTTCTGTTAGCAGTCAAGCACGTTTTAACCTTTTGTACCACCCAAGGACTCCTTTTCTCTCATTAGTGAAGAATTTTTTCATTGTTTTGATACTGATATAGTAGAATATTTGGTTTTAATTACCAATTACTTCATGAGCCAGTAAAGTCTTAAGTTTTATGCTGTTCCTTTTATATTCAGTTGAATCTGTTGAGCATATACAGGGGTTTATACTAGGTGGAATATATATGTTTCACCAGATAAAAGCATAGTGAAGAAAATGTGTGACCTTAAATATAAGGCTTGGGGTCTTCTATGAGCATAAATCTTAATAATGTCACTTCTCTATCTAAAATCTTCCAGTGACTGAATTACTTCCAGGCTAAAGTTCAAATTCCACACTGCAAAACACACCTTCAGCTCCAGTTATGCCACACCGTTTTGTTTGTGTTTTCAAAAGATCACTGTGCAAAGTATGGAAGGAGGGTAGAAAGCAGGCAAGGATACCTGGTTACCTGGTGGTTCTGTTTATTCCTTCAGTAAAACATTTATGGAGGCTCTAATATGTGCTATGTGCTGATTACACTTAGTACCATAGACACAAAGGGAATGACAGCTCTCTATTCTGTAAAAATAAATTTTATGTTGAATTTTCCCATTCCAGTGTTCGTATTAGTCTATATAAATGAAGAGGAAAACCTATGTGTAGTATTGTAATATTCAGACTGTATACCTTCAAGGAGGTACAAAGTTACACGTAAAATAGTTTTGAGAATTTTTTTCCCCCTACAAAACTATACTAGGGCTGGACTATGTCCATAAGACAGTAACAGCTTGATTCTAGCTCAAAAGCCCAGATGATTTTAATGGAGACATATATATATAGGGCTATGCAGTAATCCACAATCCCCCTTTGGACTATTTCTGCCAATGTTAGCACTTTCTGTGGTGGAAAGAACAATTTGCTTTGAAGTCAGAAGGACTTAGATTTGTATCTGACTCCATGTAACATTCGGACAAGTTACTTAACCTTACTGAACCCTATCCATAAACCTGGTGAAAATAATACCTTTAAATGGTGGTCAGGCATATTAAATAATAGATTAAAAAGGAATAACGGCAGTTGCCTCAATTGCATATTAAATGTTTGGTTTGGTCCTCATTCTCCCAGTTTCCAAATCTAATGAGACATCCTAGTTTAATGTGATTTCCTATCATATTTGGCCAGTCACTAAATGGTCTAGGATTCCTTTGTAGAGCTTTTCCATTCCCGTTCTTTCCACATAACCATTCTTTTTAACATAATTCACACTAATCCACTATCTCCTGCTAGAACTATTACTATAGTTGGTTTTCCTTTTTTTTTGGTCTGTTTGACCCAGTCCACTCTAGACACTTTCTAAACGAATGATTTCTCTTCTGCTCAAAAACTTAATGACTGATTTTAAAATTCTTCAGTATGCCTTTTCCAACATTAAGCTCTGCTTACTTATGTCGTTACATCATTTCCTCTGACTAGAATTTCCTTACCACTTCTTTGTCTTTAATGTGTGCCCTTCTTATCACCAAAACCAGAATAAAAGCTCTTTGAGGACAAGGGATCGTACATTTGTATCCCCGAAGTTTAAAAAGTATTCTATAAATCATAAGCATGTAGCAAATTGTTACTGGAATACTATCTGACGACAGTATTACACACTACATAGTACGTTCCTTAACGTTGCAAAGATTTTAAGGTTTTAAGAATAGCGAGAAAAAGGTGAAAAACCTAACAGCATGTTTTAAATTTAATATCTTGCAACCTCGTAAGAGCACAGCATCCAACTAATTAATGCAAATGAAACTAAACTTTGGCCGGGGTACAGAGCACACATTTGTTGCCATGCGGTTGTGACACATGAGCTGTTAGATGTACAGACTGCTCACATTAATTAGGGTAAGTACTTACACACCTGTCACACAAGGCGCCTACCTAAGAACTAGTGGAACAACAAAATTCCTTGGCAACCCTCGTGAGCGGCAGATCAAGTTATGATCTACTTTACCCTACTGGGAAATGGAAGTTAATAATCCAAGGAAGCTTCGGGGAAATGCTCTTTATCGTTTGAGTCCGCTAATCACACTCGTATCCAAGCTACGAGCAGCTGTTCTCCACGAGCCACGCTAGCACCGCTCTCCGCAGAGCCCACGCGCTTCTGGACGCCAGTTCCCCGACCCTGCCAGTTTGTGTCACGTGACACAGCGCGCAGGTCCCTGCTCTCATCTGTAACATCCCCAAAGATGCCTGATTATTTTCTTCTTTAGAGAAAGCTGGTCCCACTCTCCAGTGAAAGACAGAATAAAATTTATCTTTGACAGTTTTTACTTATAAGACTTCCTTTCCCGTTAAGACCAGTCATACGGCATTACTTTTTCTCAAATGATAGGGCGTCCTTCCGGGCAGCTTCCCTGGTCGGTTTGGGTCTTTCCGAACAGCAGGCACCGGCGGTGCGCGTCACTGTCCACCGCCGTGTTCCCGGGCTGCTCCTGGCTCCTGTAGGGCCTGCAGCCTCAATGTCCTTACCCCGGTGTGCCCTGTGGTGGGCTCGGCACCCTGCGGGGCGCCAGGCTGGTCACCGGGCAACCGTCTGCTCTGCCCTTCGCGCCCATGTTAGACCCCTTCCTGGGGCTGTGGGGCGCGTTCCTGCTGTTGCCGCAGCCTCCTCCTCTGCCTCCGGTGGTTCCAAAGCCCCGAACACGTCCTTGTTCGTGCCGCTGACTGTGAAACCTCTGGGCCCCAGCGCGGATGGCGACGTGGGGGCCGAGCTAACCCGGCCTCTGGACAAGAGTGAGGACAGGGTCTAGACGAGGGTGGCGGGAGGTGGTGGCTGCCGGGCGGACGGGTCGAGGGAAAGCTGCCCTCCCATCCCTTGGCGACCCGAGGTCCCCTCGAGCGTTGACATTGCGCTTGTTAATATCTGCCACCCTCAATAGCTTTTTTTTTTTTCTTTTAATAATATTGTGTTTTAGGTGAAAGTTTACACAGCAAATTAGGTTCTCCTTTAACAGTTTTTATACAGATTGTTCTGTGCCATCGGTTACAATTTTTACAGTGTGTCACTATTCTCATTATTTTTTGTTTGTTCTGTTTCCATTGATCTAGCTTCCCTTCCCCTCCTTGCCTTCTCGTCTTTGCTCTGGGGTAACTGTTGACCGATTGGTCTCACATAGTTAATTGTTTAAGGGAGCACAGTACTCACGGGTGATATTGTTTATACGACAATCTATTATTTGGCTGAAAGGTGACCTGCAGAAATAGCTTCAACTCCAAGTTCAAAGGGTATCTTAGGGCGATAGTTCAGGGGTTTCTCTAGTCTCTATAATCCAATAAGCCTGGCTTTTCTTAGGAATTTGAGTTTTGTTCTACATTTTTCTCCCATTCTATCCGAGACCTTCTATTGTGTTCCTAGTCAGAATGGTTGGTAGTGGTAGTCGGGTGCCATCTAGTTCTTCCGGTCTCAGATTAGAAAAGGTTGTAGTTGGTGTGGGTTTTTAGTCCCATGGACTAGTTTTCTTCTTTGAGCCTTTGATTTTCTTCATTCTCTTTTGCTCCTAATGAGTAGAGACCAATAGTTGTACCTTAGATGGCTACTCGCAAGCTTTTAAGACCCCAGATACTACTCACCAAACTAGGATGTAGAATGTTATCTTTGTGAACTATGTTATGCCACTTGACTAAGTTGTCCCCCCAGATCTTGCTGGCTTTTGATTCACTTAAGGCTTGGGGCTGTTTCTGATTTATCCTTAATGCCCAGCCCCCAGAAGTGACCTTTTCACTTTCACTACCCTTCTCTCTGAATGGTTTAAATCTTTTTGTGTTGGAATGATTAACCTTTTTGAGTAGTTAAATAGATGACTTCCTTTTCAAGCATTCTTTGTTCCTCCTCCACTACCCAGAACTATTGACCCCAGAAAGTGGAGTGTGTGTGTATGTGTGTGTGTGTTTAGAACCAGAGGATTCTTTGTCATTGACTGGGCGCTGATGCAGCCCAGACCTTGTTAGGCTCTTTGGTGGTTGCCAAGAGGAACCAGACTCAGACCCAGATTTCCTTCCCTCAAGGAATTCACAGTTTTGTGGAGAGGAAGGACATATTGATAACCAACTGTAATAAAAGGTGGTACATGATAATGGTGTCCTCGCCAGAGGTGGTAGGTACTCTAATCGTAATCATCTGGGGCTCCAGGGAGAAAGGAAAAACTTAGCATCAGCAAGTAGCGGTGGATTTTGTCTCCCAAACTAACCTTAGATGCGTTTGACAGGGAGCTCGAAAATGTTTTCAAGGGACCTGTGCAGTTTCTGATTATATATATGGCTGTATTTCTTTAGTTTCTGGATGATTAGGGAGACGAGACAGTTTCTTTTGACCATGTGAAGTGTTCTGGGAGGCTGAGAAGGTAATGCTGTAGCTATCCAGAAACTATCTTCAGGCAGTTCACTTCAACAAGGAATATTAGTGCCTTTATTGTAATTTTAAAACCTAGACTACAACATGCTATGGATCAAATCTTGTTTTTCAGAGCAGAAGTACAGTACTTCCACTAAAAACATGATGGAACTCACAGTGTAAGTTACTCTTTGACCTATTATTCCAAGCAGTGTTAAGGAAGGCCTTTCATTTTACTTGAAGTTTGGGACTATATTATTTTAATAAGTTAACAGTATTATTTTAAGGCATATCGTAATTTTTGTGAAATGGTTTGTCTTTATTAGATAAATGTAGATAAACCTTCTTTTGTGCTGCTATTCCAATTAACCTGAAAATGTCTGCTGTTCTAATCAGCCTTAACATCTGGGATTGATCAGTCCTTGGTGCTCCCTGAAGGGAGATAGAATAAAGATATTGGATTGTCAGCACCAGGTTTTCTTTTGGTGGAGAATCCTTAGATAACTCACTGGGCCAGTGTGTGCTCAGCAGCTTTTCATCTCCCTTGGTTGGGATTGGTCCAGACATTAAATTTACTAGATTAATCCATTCAGCATTGCAAGCAGAGCTGTAGAAAACAATAAACTTCTTATGTAGCCACAACGTTGTTATTGTTGTTAGGTGTCGTCAAGTCAGTTCTGACTCATGGCAACCCTGTGTACAGCAGAACGAAACACTGCCCAGTCCTGCTCCATCCTCTCAGTCGTTACTATGTTTGAGCCCATTGTTGCAGCCACTGTATCAGTTCATCTCACTGATGGTCTTTCTCTTTTTCGCTGGCCCTCTGCTTTACCGAGCATGATGTCCTTCTCCAGGGACTGATTCCTCCTGATACCATTCCAAAATATGTGTGACGAAGTCTTGCTGTCCTCTCTTCTTTTTTATTTTTCCCATACAAAAATTTGTACATACATTGTTATGTGACCCTAATTGCTCTCCCCATACTGTGACAGCACACTCCTCCTTTCCACCCCTGATTCCCCATGTCCATTCAGCCAGCTCCTAACCCTCTGCCTTCCCATCTCACCTCTGGACAGAAGCTGCCTGTTTAGTCTCTTGTATCTACTTGAGCTAAGAACCACACTCTTCACGAGTATCATTTTCTCTCCCATAGTCCATTCCAATCCCTGTCTGAAGAGTTGGCCTTGGATATTGTTTTAGTTCTGGGCTGATAGAGAACCCGGGGGCCATGCTCTCTGGAGTTCCTCCAGTCTCAGACCATTAAGTCTGGTCTTCTTACTAGAATTTGAGTTCTGCCCCCCACCTTTCTTCTCCATCTGGGGCTCTCTGTTGTGTTCCCTGTCAGGGCGGTCATTGGTGGTAGCCGGGCACCATCTAGTTCTTCTGGTCTCAGGCTGATGAAGTCTCTGGTTTATGTGGCCCTTTCTGTCTCTTGGGCTACTACTTTCCTTGTGTCTTTGGTGTTCTTCATTCTCTTTTACTCCAGGTGGTTGGGACCAATTGATGTGTCTTAGATGGCCGCTAGCAAGCTTTTAAGACCCCAGGTGCCACTAACCAAAGTAGGATGCAGAACATTTTCTTAATAAGCTTTGTTATGCCAGTTGACCTAGATGTCCCCTGAAAGCACGGTCCCCAGACCCCTACCCCTGCTACTCTGTCCCTCAAAGTGTTTGATTGTATTCAGGAAACTTCTTAGCTTTGGTTTAGTCCAGTTGT